ACTAGTGCGAGGAAAATGCCCTGTCACCTTCTTCTCGCTTGAAGGGGGCCATCAGCGACCACCGCGTTTACCCACGCTCCCCGCTTGCAGGGGCTGGGGGCTCCGATTGAGAAGCCCGTGTCGGGGAATGGGTCGACACCTCCTGGGGCCCACGCCGCTAGACTTTTGGATGCCACGACACTGGACACCTTAACAGTCCGATCATCGAACTCAAGATGTGTTTAAAATGTCGAAAATATGCCCGGAAATTGTTTAAAATATATGTTTGAAAAACAGAAATAAAACCTTTAAACCCATTCATTAGACATCTGGAAATTATTTGGCAACACGCGTCCTCTCCATCGATCGTCCGCCACAATGCTAGACAGCATGGGGTCGGGACTCCGGGTCATCCTGTTTTGCGTCCTACCGCTCCTCCTTGCCTACCCACGCGGCGCTTCGAGGCACATGCCCTGAGCCTGGCGACGCTGAAGGTGGTAGCGCGGCCGCGCCACCGCACCGCGCTGCGGGCCTGCGCGCACGGCGGTGGGCGGCGCTTCCCCGCCTGACGCTGCAGGCATGAAGGTCAGTGCTTCGACGCGGCCCCCCCGCCCCCCGGGGGGGAGTCGCCCCAAGAGAGGGGGCTGATCAAACGGGGGGAACTGCACGAGAAAGAGAAGCCACGCGGTGCCCTCCGCAACCGCGACCGAGAAGGGGGGGAAGATGGGCAACGACGCAATGGCGGCGGCGGAGGGAAGCTACCACAAACTTTCCCCTCCTCCTCCTCCTCCTCCTCATCCTCCTCCTCCTCCTCCTCCTCCTCCTCCTTCTCCTCCTCCTCCTTTCTACGTGAGACCAACCTGAGCGTGAAGCTGTGGCGTTAGGGGTAGCGAAAGAAAACGACTCGGGTCAGGGACACCTGGCGGGCGCCGCGGAAAATGTGGTAGGAAACGTACGGGATAATATTATTAGTGAGAGTTGGCGCCCGCCAGGTGTGACGACACTCACCTCAGTAGGATCACAGCAACAACATAAGGTAACATAGGTAATAGTCCTCCTCCTCCTCCTCCTCCTCCTCCTCCTGCTCGGGCTCATCCTGTGCCCCCTCCTCCCCTGCACCTTCTGCTCCTGCCCGAGGCCTCCTACCAACTGCCACACCCGATGCCACGGCACCTGCCCACCGTTGCAGGGGTCGGGTGCCCACTGGGGCAAGACAGGTGAACGCGGATCCACGCCGGCGCAGGACGGCCGGCTGAGAGCGTGAGGCAACGACAGACCGATGATGATGAGGAGGAGGAGGAGGAGAAGGAGGAGGAGGAGGAGCAGGAAGGGGGGGAGAAGGAGGAGGAGGAGGAGGAGGAGGGTGACGAGGAGGAGAAGGAGGAGGAGGAGAAGGGAGGAGGAGAGAAGGAGGAGGAGGAGGGGGGGGAGAAGGAGGTGGACAAAAGGGAGTGGGGCAGGACGAGGGGGCTTGCGGTCCGAAGGAGGGTAGGAGGAGGACGATGAGGAGGTGGAGGAGGAGGACGGAGGAGGAGGAGGAGGATTAGGAGGAGGGAGTAATGTAGGAGGAGGAGGAGGGAAGGAAGATGAGGAATGAGGATGAGCAGGGAGGAGGAGGAGGCGGAGGGGGAGGAGGAGAGGAGGAGGAGGAGGAGGTAGAGGAGGAGGAGGAGGAGGAGGAGGATGATGGGGGGAGGAGGACGATGAGGTATGAGGATGAGGATGAGGATTAGGATGAGGATGAGGATGAGGTGGAGGGGAGGAGGAGGAGGAGGAAGGCATTGGAGGAGGAAGAGGAGGAGGAGGAGTAATGAGGAGGGGAAGAGAGGAGGAGGAGGAGGAGGATGGAGGAGGAGGAGGGAGCAGAGGATGGAGGAGAGGAGCTGGAGGAGAAAGGGAGGTAGGTCCAGGAGGGGGATCTCATTTCGCACCCCCCTTTGCCCACATCCGCCTCCGATCTGTGCGACCACCTAGGCGTTGGAGGGGGAAATGGGGAGAGGCCTGGCAACCACGGTGGGGGGGGGAAGCGGGAGCGGCAGCGGAACAATGTCGCCGACGTGGTGCGATCCGTGGCTGGGGCTCGGGAACGGCTCCCCCGCCGCAGGCGAGAGCGAGCCACTGGCGAGGCAGAGAAGGGAGGCGGGGCTCGGTTGCCTCCTTGGGCGACGGATGCTCCTCATCTACAGCCTGGGGAGCAGTGCTGCGGTACCGATGCAGTCGGGTCATGGCGACAATAACGCGGGTCAGGCAAAATGTCATGTGACATGTGTGTGTGTGTGTGTGCCCAGATCGACGAGGACTTCCATGCTGAGAGCTCAAGCGCGAAGAACCTGAGGACATCCCACCATCGACAAGGATATTCTGAACCCTCGACACACCTGCGCCGGTACCACTACTACCCGAAACTCTCCTGGGGTGCGTGCTGTTGAAGACTTTCGAACAGCCGTTGCGACGAGGGCCCACCAGAAGGCGCAGAAGGCGAAAACGAGGGATCGACAATGTTATCGGCATCTTCCCCTTCTGACAAGAATCCGTTTGAGACAGCTGCCTGGCACTGGCGGGCCACCCAGAGGAAAGCGCCGCGAGCGGATGCCAGCGGAACCAGGAGCAGCAGGGATGCCGGCAGCAGCACCATGATCGAGGTGAGCAGGGCCGTCTGCCACATCAGGAGGGGCGCTGCCAAGCACCTGCCAGGTCGTCCTTCTCTCCCTGACCCCGGTCATCTTGTTCATCCCCCCCCGCCCTTTCATCCATCCCAGTCATCATGATCATCATCATCATCATCATCATCATCATCATCATCACCACCATCACCACCATCACCCTCCTCCTCCTCCTCATCATCATCCTCATCGGTATCAATATCCATCACCATCATCACTATCACTGGCATCAAGACGAACCCGAATCCTCATGGCCGTCATGATCGTCAACGTGATCATGATCATGATCATCATCACCATCATCATCCTCATCACAATGTTTTTCATCATCGTCGGCATGGTCATCATTATCATCATTATAATGATCACCATCATCGTCATAATGATCATCCCCATCCGCATCAACATCAACAGCAACATTAACAGCATCGTCATCATCATCACTACCACCAGAAGCATCATCACCACCATCCATCACCATCATCAACATCACCGACATCAACACAAACCATCATCAGCATGCTCAGCATGATCATGATCAGCGTCATGCTCATGATCATGATCGTGTTCGTCGTGTTCAGCATCAGCGCCGCCGCCACCATCATCAGCATCATCATCAGCATCATCAGCATCAGCAGCAGCAGCATCAGCATCAACAGCATCATCATCATCATCATCATCATCATCATCATCAGCAACATCATCATCACCGTCATCATTCTACTCATCACCAGCTACATCATCATCACCATCACCACCATCATCATCATCATCATCAGCTTTGCCATCATCATCATCATCATCATCATCATCATCATCATCATCATCATCATCATCATAACCATCCGCTTCCTATCGGCGTGCGCTCCTGTGCCTCCTCTTCCTTTTCCTCTGCTGATATGCGTGCGCTCCTCCTCCTCCTCCTGCTCGTCCTCCAGTCCCTCCCCCTCCCCAGACGTCTGGCGCCGTGAAAAGGCATCGACGTCCATAGAAATCGCGACAGGGGCTGTCGACCCCGCCTCGAGGTGAGAGATCTCTCGGGCCAATCGGTTCGCGAGTGACCCGCGACCGAGCTGGGGCGAAACTGCCGGTCGT